GTGAAATATACCATAAAGTAGAAGCAAAGTTCAAGAGTGGTGCAGAGGATGAAGTGGCTCTGTCCATTTGGGGACATCTGGAAGGCTTTGGGCAGAGATGGCATTTGGGGTGGGTGGCTGGGATTATTGCAGACGGGATAATGGCAGAGGCCAAGGAGAGAGATGCAGGGCAAACGCAAGAAGCTAGGGTTTTAGAGAATAATGAGCAGCTTCTTTTGCCCCGGGGAGTGGGCTTTGTGTCTGCCAGGTAAGGCAGCTGTGGGGTCTGGTGGAGGGGACTTTGAACTTGAGTAGGCAGTGGTGAGGGGCTGACATTATCCAGGGAACCCAAGGGCTGGTGGCAAGGAAGTAAAGGGAGGAGAACATTTAAAACCTGTTGGAGTTTGGAGGGGCACCTGGGTGGCTCAGTCGGTTAAGTGTCCAACTTCAGCTCTGGTCTCGTGGATCGGGGGTTCGAGCCCCACATTGGGCTTTGTGCCGACAGCACGGAACCTGCTTCTGATCCTGTCCCCCGTCTCTCTCTGCTGTTCCCCTGCTCGTGAGTGTGTGTGCGCGCTCCCTCTCTCTCTCAAAAAAAACAAAACAAAAAAACCCCACTTTGGAGTAAATGTCCACAGAGCATGGGAATGGGGCGGGGGTGGTGAAGACATTAAAACACAAGGATGGGATAGAGCATACCAGGGAACTTCTCCAGAGTCTCCTGCCAGAGGACGGAGTGACAGGCAGCATCCTGGGAACCGAGCGGATGGAATGGCGGGCACAGAGGTCCTACCTGAGGCAGGAGGGACTTTGCACAGTAGATTCCAAGGGCGCCAGTGGCAGCGGACTGGGGTTGAATCTGGACGACAGCGGCTGGAACGGCGGGACGTGAGGTTGGACAGAGGCGGGCCGGGCTGTCCCCGGGCCTCCTGGGCTTGGTAAGGGCTTCGGATCGAACTGTAAACGTATTTGGCAACCACTGAAGGGGGTCAGAGGCCGTGTTCTGTTTATCTGTTTCCAAAAACATGATCCTGGCTCATCCGTGTGGAAGGGATTTTAGGGAAGCACGGGTGGAGTTAGGGACAACAGGTGCCAGGTCATTGTGTGGGAGTGCGGGCGAGACGGAACACCGAGGCGTGGCTGCCGTTCCAGACCTGCAGATCGAACCCCAGCGGGTAAGCAGACGTGGCCGTGCATGGTGGTAGACGCCTTTAGTGCTGGAGATCTAGATGGATCTGGTCCCGGACTGTGATAACTAGTGTGCCTACTAATTATCATCAGAACTCTTATCTTTTAGAGTTCTGGTCGATAGGAAATATGACGTAAAACCCTAACTTACTGAAAAATCTGAGTTAAGTAGATTTTTAAACGTGATTTAAATGTGTTAGGATGTCACCTCATCTGTAGGTGCACAGAGTGTGTGCTCCAGGTAAAATTGGGGTTCCTTACACAATTTGACACCCATTTCCCGAGTCTTTTCGTGTCGTGTGATATATTTGTACTTCGGCTTAAACTCAGAGCCTCAGTTTCCCCATCTGTGAACTAAGGATCGTATTGCGTTGCAGGTTGCCTTCAGAGCTAAATGGCACAGAGCCTGGCATATGGGAGAAATCTGGCAAAATCCTGGTTACTGTTCGTAACAGCCTGGAAAGACACCTCAGTAGCATTTCTCTGATCCGTGAGGAGGAAGCGAGGTGTCCTTTTGCTGGTGAGGAAGTAATTTTCAAGGAAATTAGTTGCAGTGGCCCAAGTCACCAGGTGCACCTTTGTTAGAGGCCGAGCACCCGTGTGATGCCCTCAGAGCGCCGGGTCTGCGTGGCGGACCCACGACTGCGCCACAGACGACGGGTCTCCCTGTCCTGTCCCTGTCACGTGTGCTTCTCTTGTTTCTCGCTTCTTGGATTGTTGTCCACTGCCGTGTTTCAAGGCCTGTTGGTTCTAAGGGCCAGAAGCTTCCATAAAGAGCAGGCAGACCAGGTCTGGGCTCTGAAAGCATTTGTACGTTTTCTGGCTGTGGATTAGTTGAAAGAGACAGCTTGTGGGAAACAAAAGGACTCTCCAGTGTTTTAATTTCACACTGTAGTGTGTTGACTTCTTTCAGCCTTTTTTCCTGTAGAACTTTACAGACCGTTGTGCCAGGTGCCAAAACCCACCTAACTTTGGTAGTATTTATTCAGATTCTGAGTACTTTTTTCCTTTCTAAATTAGGGATGCTGAAAAGTTCACAGTCACCTGTTCTAGACATGACATCTCCTCTAACAAGTCTTTAATAATTATCTGTAAAATAGTAATTAGTGCTTTTATTCTTGTACTCTTATAATCACATTTCACCAACGTGGATTGTTTTTGGTTTTTTTCTCTCTCTCTCTCTCAGGAAAAGTTGTAAGGGCCTATTAGTCAAGTAGTCCACAGACAAACAGATAGTCACGGCCAAAGACAAGTACCTGAGGAGGTCATGGTCAGGGCACAGTGTGAGCGGACGGGGACCAGGCTTCTCTCCGGCGGGAAAGGAGAGATGACCCCATGCGAGAAGAACACCTCTGTGGTGTCGACAGTTAGCGATGTCTTGTTCTTGGCATTTGCCGGATTTCTCGTAATATCTCATTAACACTTTCTCTGTGGCTTTTTTGTTGCCTCGTTCCATTTTTAACTGCTGTAAACCTTTTTAAAAAACACATCTCGAACTTTTGAACCTCTAAGAAAGTAAAACATTCTAACGTGTGAAATTTTTGATGAAGGAATCAGCACCTTAAGTATATACATTTCTTTGAAACACTTTTATGATCTACTTTTTTAAGTTTGTGGGGGGAGATCCTAGCTTAACTTTATATGTTGAAGATATTCTAAGATTAATTTTTAAAAGATTAAGTGATTCTCACAGCCACTTTCAACTCGTGGCCTTGTCAGTACTGATGATGTCACGTGATAAATTCATTTGATTGTTTTCACTTCAAGTCAAAGAGTAAATGTGACTGAATCTTCGATGTTTGTTACTTTTAATTTTTTTCTTTTTTTTTTAAGGTTTACTTATTATTTTATTTATTTTTATTTATTTATTTTTTTTGAGAGAGAGAGAGAGAGAGCACAAGTGGGGACGGACAGAGAGAGAGACAGGGAGAGAGAGAATCCCAAGCAGGCTCCATGCTCCGTGTGGAGCCTGACGCGGGGCTCGATCAGATGACTGTGAGACCTTGACCTGAGCCTAAATCAAGAGTCCACCACCCAAGCTCCCCTTACTTAAAAATTTTTTTTTTAATTTTAATTGTAGTCTTTACCCAGATTAACTGGTAGCAGTCACTTTGTTTTTCTACCCCTAGAGAGATAAACAGATCTGAATAAACAGTTTTGTGTCTTAGGTCTTTCTTGTGTACGTCAAGTGAAATTGCAAATAATTCTGGTTGGTTCGGGCTGGGTGGTGAGAGAGGGCATTTCCTTCTGAAGTAAGATAATCTTTATAATTCACTTTGGTGTTTCGAGTGTTCTCGGTCAGACATTCATGGGGTACATATTGTTCTTTACTATTGTCCTTCTCTGTATTGTTTAATTGTATCGTGCCTTTTGTCGTACCGGGAGGCACATACCTTTACAAGACAGCTCTGTGCTGGGTAAATTCTTGCACTTGGAGGTGGTGTGAACAGCTTCGCTAAGAGAAAGTAACACCACCTCTGTGGTGAGCAATTCTGACCCAGTTTCTGAAATGTGGGTGAGGGGGTAAAACACCCAGACTCCATCCATATGTCGTAAGTAACATACACCAACAGGTGCAGTTAGGAATGAAATGCCAGTGCAGTTGCGTGGGTTACTTTGTTCTTCTTTCTTACTCCCACAGCTGGCCCGTTACTGAACCTATTACTTTTGTTCCTCTCGTTACCACCAAAAATACGGGTGGCACCAAGTTCTCTTTCTAGTCCCCACTGCAGTAGGGATGTCCATCCTGCCTAAGAATCGAACAACACTGTAGACGGTAGAGTGACTGAACGCCCAGGGTCCGAAAGGAAAGCCTGGCCCCTGTGTCTCAGACTTTTTTGTGTGTTTAACTCCGGCCGATCCAGGCCAAGGAAACCCTTTAACTGCTCATGGCGGAGGGAGGAGCCCCCAGGACCGAGATCGTGGCCTGTGGAAGAACAGGCTAGACGTAGGAAGGGAGGGACCGTTTTTGTCCAAGGATTCCCTGAAGTCAGTACAACTTAATCTAACTGAAGGTGACCCGTGTGGACCGCCAACTCCGTACCCCGTGCATGTGTGTGGGTCAGGTAATTCGTTAGAAAGGCTCATCAAGGTGAAGGACGAAGAGCCTCTCTGTCTCTTTCCTGCTTGTTTGGTTATCCCATCCATGTAACCGCCGTGCGTGTGTGACGGGGGGCTTTCCATACAGGATTTCTGATGCCATTACCCCAGGTTTACGGGTACACAGAGCGCGACTCAGAGATGTCCGTGGCCTGTCCCACGGCCACGCGGTTAGGAAACGGAGAGGGGCGGCGGGCTCACGTGCTGGCCCTCAGGCTCTTTGCCTTGACGTCATGCTTTCTCAGAGATCAGCTCGGAGAATCCCTTTCTGGGACGTACAAGCAAAATTGTTCAGTGTCCTTGACCCATTCCTGGTCAGAAAAATTTTGAATTTGCACTTCAGTGCCATTGTGCTTTTCTGAGCATTTTCCTTCTATGACAGAAGAGACTGCCTGCGTTTAAGCACAGACACTAAGGCAGCTGCGATGGGGCGGGGGCGGGTGGGGGGGGGGGGGCTTACCCGTCAAGCGAAGGTCAGCTCAGGTTTAAGGCTTCGGGAAGCCTAATCAGTAGGAACAGCGAGCACTTGAGACTCTCTGGGCCAGTTAATAGTAAAAACCAAAAACCACAACATCGTTCTCAGAATCCTCACCGCAATCTATTGGCTTTGATGAGAACGTTCTTATTCTAGACTCTCAAGGAACTTTGGGTTGGTTGGCTTGGTCGGGTCACGGAGAACTGAAATGCACCTGCAGAATTTCCTGACTGAGTGCCCTGTTTTTCCCTTTCTCCAGGTCTATCATTAGCAGAAGATTTTTCTGCATAGTCGGCACGCTGTACCTCTACCGCTGTATCACAATGTATGTAACCACACTCCCGGTGCCCGGTATGCATTTCAACTGCTCTCCGAAGGTAATCTTTGCTCACTGTGATTTTTCTTGTGTTTTCTGTCTGTCCTCCGGCCCAGGGGTCCTTTGACTAAGGCCGAAGGTGGAAGTTTCTTCAGAGTGTAGTCAAGGCCCCCCCGCCCGTGTCTGGGAAGGTTACTGAGCAGTATGGCCCGGTGCCCACCCCCTCCCCCCTTCCCCACATCTCCAGGCCCCGCCAGTGCGCCCCAGCTGGGAGCATATGTGGTCTGGTGAGTGCGCTGGAGGCGGTTAAGCCGCGTGTGTGGGTGTAGCTCTTTGCTTTTCCTGCCAAACTTTTAAAATACCATTCGCTCCCTTGACACAGATCCAAGAGCTCGTATATGCTTTTTTCCCCTCTCTTAGGTGGAAGGTTCGGCCTCCAGTGATATTTTTTCCTTCTTTCTACTAATCCCTGTGGTGGTCATCTCTAACGGCAGAGCAGGAGACGCTGTCCCCTCGTGCCCTCCACCCACCCGAACGAGGTCACCGCTCCCCAGAGGCGCGTGTGGCCCTATCGATCTCTCTGGTGGCACAGAGACCTTTCGCTGACGTAAACCGTTCCTCTCTTACCGTCTCTGTTTTTCCACCCGGTTCACAAAATAACTTTTACCTTGCAATGCTTCCAACTAGGGAGGTCACTGGAGCTTTTGAAATAATTAGCAGAAGATGGAGTTGTAAAAATGTTGGCTTGCAGCAAAGCTGTCAAGCAGTAAGGAGAGGCTGGCGTCCTCGGTGAGGCTGGGAGAAAATACGGGGTGCTCCGATGTGTTTGGAATGATTCTTTTTGCATCGCGCTGATGTTGGTAAAACACCCATGTCCTTTGAGCTCCCTCCCCTTCTATAAAGTTTCTTCTTTCCAGAAGAGAGAGTTTCTCTGCTGGAACCATGAAAGAGAGCTGCAAAACGTATTGGATTTTTGAAGCGGAGTCTTTATCGTTTGAAGGTTTGGACCCCGTTAAGTTACGTGCTTACTTACCGGTCTCCCTTCTAAGACTCAGGCGTGTGCTCAGGAGGGTGGCTGGTCCCCTGCTTCTCTCTTCCTCTGGTTCACTTCAGACTCCTCACCCTGGAGAAGCCGCCACAAAGATCAAGTGGTCCCAGCTTCCGCTCGTCCCTCACAGCAGCCCCACCGCCCTCCCCCTTCCACCTCGTCCCCTCTTCCTCCCAGGAAGCCAGCCTCCCTTCTGCGGCCTCTGAAAACTGAGTGCCTGCCTGGGACTGCCGGGCTGTAGGAAATATGTTCTCCGCGAGGCTCCAGTGATGCGCGTGGACTCCGGGGGGGAGGCTGGCGATCAGCCGTGTGTTCTCAGTAGTAGGCTGACAGTTGAGATGTATGTGCCTAAGTTGAGTTCGGCTTCTTAAAAAAAGTCTGCACGTCGGGAAGCGTTTCCAGCGGGGAGTGGGGTGCGCTCATTGAGGTAGATGGGAAGTCTGGCCGGGCCCACGGACCGGATCGGCCGTGAAGGACTGTGCCGTGCGGCCACCCCCCCTGCCCTGGCTCCCGCTCTGTTTCTCCTTACGGCCTCTCTCTGCCATCGCGCCCAGGCCGGCCGGCCCACGCCCGGGGCCCATTGGCACTCACGGCCTGCCTGAGTCATCGGCAAATCCAGCCAAGGTCCTGAGGCTATAAAGAGTTGTGGCTTTTCTTGGTAAAAACAAGAGGTCACAGCAGGAACTGTGCCAAAAAACAAAACCTCAGACGTGCCTCTGGTTTATGGTGTTGCCAGAAATCCCGAGCGGGGCCGTCCCTCGTGATGGTCATTTGGAAATTGGGAGTTTTTAAATAAAAGAACGTGGGAGGGGATGAAACGTGAGTACAGCTTAGCAAAAAAAGTGAGCACAATTAGTTACAATGTGTTAAATCTAATTCCTTCTTTTGTAGAGCAGGCTCGTGGAAGAAAGGATTCAGAAAATAATTTTTATTCTAAAACCGTTCATACGCATCTCCCAGGGCAGAGAACCTCATGTGTGGAAGCTGTACGTGCCCAACCCCCCAGACGCCGTGATTATCAAGAGTGGCTACGTTAGCTTCATCTCGTTTTATTTTGACGTATTTAAAAAATTAAAAGTATATGTGTATTTTTTTAAATGTTTTTTATTTAGTTTTGAGAGGGAGAGAGAGGGAGAGAGAGAGGCAAAGCTCGAGTGGGGGAGGGGCAGAGAGAGAGAGAGGGAGACACAGAATCGGAAGCGGGGTCCAGGCTCCGAGCCGTCAGTGCAGAGCTGGACGTGGGGCTCGAACTTGGGAACGGCGAGATCATGACCTGAGCTGAAGTCGGACGCTTAACCGACTGAGCCACCCAGGCACCCCTTGAGGTATTTTAAAACAGACCCCAGGTAATGCCATTTCATGGCTATCTACTTTAGTATGCATCTGAAATTTTTGGACATTTTATTGATAACTTTCATGCTGTTGGTGTAGTGAACACAATCAACTGTCATTCCTCGGTATCGGCAGTTCCCAGTTCGTAGACCCATCTTGGTTGTCTTAAAAATGCCTTTAAAAACATCAGTTTGGGGGCGCCTGGGTGGCTCAGTTGGTTAAGCAGCCGACTTCAGCTCAGGTCATGATCTCGTGGTCCGTGGGTTCGAGCCCCGCGTCGGGCTCTGTGCTGACAGCTCAGAGCCTGGAGCCTGTTTCAGATTCTGTATCTCCCTCTCTCTGACCCTCCCTCGTTCATGCTCTGTCTCTCTCTGTCTCAAAAATAAATAAATGTTAAAAAAAAAATTTAAAAAAAAAAATCAGTTTGTACAAGTTACAGGAGCCAACTTCCTTACATTTAGTTGATCTGTCTCTTAAGTCTCCAATTCTAGGGCAGTACTCTCTCCTTTCTCCCTTTTTTCTTGTTTGAAGCCCATTAGTAACCCATGGAGATCAGACAGGCTATTCCGTGGGGTATCCCATGTTCTGGATTTATCCGGTTTTTCCTTTGTAGTGTCGATTAGCCTTTTTCTCTCCTCCATTTTTTCTCTAAATAGAAAGTTGGCTCTGGAGACTTGATTCCAGTTCAGTTGTGACTCCGTCGGCAGGAATGGTCCCCAGGAACAAGGGAATGGTTTCTGATGCTGGACAGAAGAGTCGGGGAGGCCACGGAGGCCGGGGCTGCCCCTGGCATGGCGGGCCAAGCTCGAGAAATCGAGTGACCAGTTGAGGACTAGAACGGTGTCAGAAGGGGGAGAAGGGGTGCTAGAGGGGGACCCTGGACATTAGCTTTGCTGCTGCAGAGCCCTGCCCACGGCTAATCAGCCAGGATTGAAAGGAGCCTCAGGAAGTCACCCCGCCCTCCATAGCCTCGCCTGCAGAACAGCCTCCCCCTGACCCGTTGCACAGAGAGGGAGCTTCTCACCCCATAAAAGGACAAACCGACCGAGTAACGAGTAGTGGGAACAACTGAGGTCAGAGTCAGGACGGTCTCACACAGCCGCTTCCCAGCCAGGGCAGTTGCGTTGACCTTCTCAGTTCCCCAGTTTCCTTAGTGGCCGCACAGCACTAGTGACACTTTCTGGGTCTGTCTGAAGGAGCTCGGGGGAGACGGCAGCACGTAGGGCTCAGTCGACGGAAAACGCCAAAGGCAGGGTATGCTTCAACCCTACGCCCTCCCCCGTCCGGCGAACGTTCGCGTCACGGGCCGGCCTGCGTCGCACGCCTCCAGGGGCCGGCGAGCGAGGAGTGAGCGTGGGGGGCAGAGGTGCCTGTGTGGACAGCGCCTCGGCCCCCTGGTGCAAGCCCGCACCCGCGTGGTCCCTGTGCAGAGTGCTGCAGCGGCTGGTGCTTGGCCGTCCCCCGGAGGGAGGGCAGGAGGGCGCGCGGGTCGTACCCCTGGGCAAAAACCTGACGTGGGGAATGAGGGTTTCACAGGCCCCTTGGGTCTTCCCACTGGGATAGTTATGCGTGAGGCGCTTGGGAGACCCCTGAGTGGTACGGGGCCAAGGTTGGGTGAGCACGGGAGCCGTCACGTTCTGCATGCGGGCACATGAAAAGGCCCGAGACAGGGCGGGAAGTAGAGCCTCCAGAGGGGAGAGCTCCCCACGTGACCCCTTTCCCAGCCTGTCGGTTGGTGGCCCTCGCACGGTGTCCCGGCGTCATTCAGCTGCGCGGGACGAGTTGGGCCGTAGAAGACGCTTTGTGTGTGACGTCGTCTGGCGGTTCTGCCGTCATGTTGGGAGTCCTAACGCCGGCGCCCAGGACGCGGGGCTTCCAGGAGGAAGGGCCCGGCAGGCTCGTGGCACTCAGTATGCTCATCTCCTGGCCGTGTGCTCGGCACTCGGCAGGACCGTGACGGGCGTGTGCGGTGACCAGGGCAGGAAGGACGGCGGCCTCCGTCAGCGCTCCCGCCACAGAGCTGAGTCCCCCTGGGGACGTGCAGAGGGGAGTCGCGGTGTGCAGCTGCTCGATGAGGAGCTCCTGGGACGCACGTGTCCTGTGGCCTAGCGGACACCAGCCGGTCACGCTGTCGGCCCTGTTACCGTCATCAGAGCTTTTCTGCCAGGAGCGTGTGAACCAACCAGAACACAGCCTCCTGCCTCTTGTTCCCGCTGTTTCAGATCCGGTTTTAAAAAAGAAAACGCAACGGCAAATATTTGCGAATACTGTGGTGTCCTTAGCTTTCCGTATGAACGTTGGCTCTGACCGTCGGGGCAAAGGAAGACCCGCCCCGGGCCCCAGGTTCGCGCACAGCCCACGGCTGACGGAGGAGGTACCGTGGGCTGTTTTCAGCTCTCTCGCCAGTCACCCT